TTTGGAGGGTGCAAAATTATACACAATCTTTATAAAATAGGGCAATTTTGCCACTCTGTTAACTTTGTTAAATGTCCGTCACCTTTTAGTTCGGTGGGTCCCATATTTGTACACATTTCCTCTACTTTTCCCTTCCCTTTTCCTTTGTCTCACCCTTCTCTCTCTAACTTTCTCTCTCTCTGTTTTTCTTCCCTCACTTGACACACTTATTCTTCTTATTCTTCATCTTTCTCTCTCTTGTCTTCGCCTCATTTAAACTCTAGTCTCCCTCCCAACTTTCTTATCAAATAACAACAGGTGCCAAGCAGTCAAAACAAATCCCAACCATAAACAATTTTTAACGGCCTTCCTCATACCAAATACAAAACAGAGGACTCTCTTTCACAGAAGGAAATTTCTTTCAATAAAGAACACAATTTAGGTCCTTTTCAACTCACTTGGCACGTCCTTTGCAACTTGGAGCTTGATGAATAAAGCTAAATAATTCAAGAATTATGGCAGTCCAAGCAGATTAATTCCAAACAATTGGAGGCCTAACCATCTTTCTAAAAACTATCCTTTGGTCATTCCTTCCAACTACATCAACCAAGCTGATTACCTTGACTTTTCTCCCTCGTCTTGTCAAACAAGCTCAACAGAATGTGGCCAACCACCTTCCAACTTGTCCAACCACATAGCATCTCGTTTCCTTGTGTTGCGTCTTTTGTTCACAAAGTCAATCACCTCCAGTGTCGATGCCTTTATCTCCTTCTCAAATCGATCAAATACAATAGTGCACACTCTCCCCCCTTAAGCTTCTAATGGAGAACAGTCATTTGGTTCTTGAATTCTAAGTTGCTATTGCCAAAGGAAGAGGAGCCAAACTTGAAAAGGGGAGAGAGATAGAGAATTGAGTCTGATGTGTTGGGGGGGAGGAATTGATGTAAAGAGAAGGAGGAGGAGAGATGAAATTTAAGGGGGTAAAGTGTAATGTTTTTAGTGAAAGGATTATCTGAGCCAGACACATAGCTGAACCCACCTCAGAAAAAGAAACGGCTGTCTAGACTTGTTAACAGAAGTGATGAAATTTCTCTGTATTTTAAAGTTTGTGTATAATTTTGCACCCTTCAAAACTTAATGGTGCCAGGTGCTCTTAGCAAAAAACATTATTGTTAAAATTGCACCTTAACCCTAAATTTTATTTGAGAATTTATGACCCTATCTTGCTCTTTTATGACAACATCAACTGTATATGATGTGATATTATGTGTATGTTGTGGTTTGATACAAGGATAACATGTGGTAGATGACATGTTTAGAATCTAAGGCATTCATACATGCTTGGAATGCTTACTTTAATTTGAGAATACCATGGCAATGAATTAATCTAAATAACTCTAAGGAGGTACTGTGATGGATTGAATTATGATACCACATGGTCCACATCCATAGAATGCACTATGGTTGGCATGATTGGAGAGGGCAGTATTTGGGGTATAGATGCTATGAAACTAGGCACTAAACCCATTAGAGCAATGTACACCGTACCATTTATAAAAGAACTTATGGCTCTCGTGTGCTCTACTGACTTTGGCCGGTTCATATTATACATGTGGAGAGCTCATTAGAGTAACCGATCACTTAGTGAGGTACTTAGCTCATGGGTTCAAATTGGCAGTTATAAGGAGGATATAAGGTAGGAATTGAATGCTTAAGATTAATTAATTAATTGTGAATATGTGTTATATTTTTGTTCTTGCTCATCAATCCTATCATTTATAATTCTACTGTATGCCTTTGATTTGTCATATCTGATTATTTAATTGTTAGGCCACCCAGTGCCTCATAGGGGTGCTGGTAGGTGAGGTGGGTAGGAATTTATGTTACTGAGATGGTAGTATCACTCCATTACTATTACTTTTCAAGTGAGAGTAGTAAGGGAGCTTTGGCAAGTAAGGAAGCATAGGCGTAAGGTCACCTACCTTGGTGCTCATGCCCCACTTTTTATTTTGTTTAGTTCTAATTAATTTTTACCCAGGACTTTTGTTGCATTTTACGTTTTCTTCACCGAACATTTTATATCTCTTAGTTATTAGATGATTTTATGTAAACCCTGAGGGCTTTGAATCCATAGTTGAATCATTTGAGCTTTGTTATGGAATCAAACAGAATTGATTTGGGTATGCCTTGACGGATATAAGTTATGTTAATCAGGTATAGGGAAAGTTCTATTTAGGGGGTGTTTGGCTAACCCCAGAAGTGCTTTTCAGAAGCACTTTTCCACAAATTGAGGCAAACTCCTCTATATATTTACGTTGTATACAGTAAAAGCACTTTTTGAAACTATGATTTTGTTTTTATCCAAATACCCCCTTAACCATGTTAGAGTTCAACCTTTTTTCTAACATGGTTATGCCATCGAGATAAGTTTGGTTCTTTTATAATCATGATATCATGTGCTGTGTTAATTATGCTCTTTACTTCACATATCATCTTTATGTGCTCTTTTTGCTGTGAAGGTTGCCAAGTTGAGGTGGTAGTTTAAGGTGTTACAAATGCCACTTAGAAAATTTGGCTCCATATCATATTAAAAAAAAAGTGGTACTTAGAAAATTCTATAGAGTACTAAATATGTCTTAGCCTTACAAAAATTAATGAGTAATAAAATTGGTTGAAGTATAAATTTACTGAAGTATTCACAAACACACAACTAGTACCATAATTTTATTTAGGCACAATATTTTTTGTGAAAATTTCAAAATGGTAAAAAAATGTTACCTCGGCTAATTTAAGTGATTGTCCAGTACTTTTTAATGGTAGGCCTCACATATGTGCTTATGTATTAAAAGTCAATGAATGTGTGCTCAAATTTACCGTCATGATGGTTTTGCATCGTTTCAAAATTTCCGGGGTGGCATTCTTGTCAACGCGAACTAGATCTGTATGTTCAGTTGTTTGTGATGTCATGATTTGTCCTGGGAACGTTTTTCTTTAAAAAAAAAAAAAAACTTAGGCGGGTTGGGTTCTGGGACTTTGCTACCAAACCTTTTGAATTGACGCGTCTTTATTTTGTTAATTGGCGAATAGTAACTAATAATAATAATTATCTCTGTAATAAATTCTTCATAACAAAGTGAAATATTACACTGGATAGCTAGGGATTAGAGGAATTATATCTCTGATGTCATTAATTTCATTGTTTCAAAAATTCCCTTTAAATAGGGATATATCATATATGGATATAGATGAAAGCAATCAATTAATGTTTTATATAAGTTTTGGAAGCAAAAAATAAAATCTGTTTTTAACAAGTATATATAGCATGGAAATTGTAACTAAAATCAGTTTCAACATTTGACACGGATAGCATTCAAAAGCAACTGTAAGCATGTTTTACGTAAATCGTGACAAAATTTTTCTCATATACTTACTTTATATTATGTAAATTATAATTAAAAAGCTAATTATAAACTATTCCAAACAAACACAAAGAAGGTAAGCTCATCAACTGATAACAAAAACAATAAAAATGATGGTTAATTAGATTAGAACATTTTAATCCCCATTTGGGAATAGATGATTTAGTACGCTCCTATTCAGGAAATAGAGCCCAAAGCCAAATAATAAAGGAAGTGAGCCAAGTGTCTTAAAATAAGATTTTGGCAAGGTTTGGGTGTGATTAACTTTAAAAAAAAAAATCCATTTACTTTTATGGGGTTAGTGTGCAAAAAGCACCTCAAGCCTTTAAGGATATTGCGTGAGGTATCCGGATACCTATAAATAATGAAAAATATGGTACAAAACTCGGACTCTAATTATACACAGGGAAAAATCCCTAAAAAATGTTTAAATAACTCAAATTCTTATTTAAATTATTAAATTTGTCAAATCTCTAGTTAGCTGACATTACTCAAAGAAGGATTTTAAAATTTTATGAAATGATTCTAATACCCTTTTTATTGATTAATTAAAAAAAAAAAGGAAATCTCAAGGGGATGTGAGAGATTTCAACTCCCTTGAATGAAACAATGTATTTTAGTTCATATAACGTAGACTGCTAGTTACAATCGACTCTTTCTATTTATTATAAATTAGCTTCGTATTAAATCAAAGTCCATATTACTTAGAGTCAATATTTTAGTAAAGAGTTAATATAATTTTTAGTTTTTTAAATTTGCTCTTATTTTGGTTTTAGTCCTTCAAGTTTCAAATCATGGGTTTTGTTTTCTTAAGAGGCAAAATGATGTAGTTTTTATTGAATGATAGGGATTAATATTTTAAATGAAAAGAAATTTGCGGGACTTAAATATATAGTTTAAAGCTTTAAGGATGAAAACCAAAATAAAAGTAAACTGAACGACCAAAAGTTATTTTAATCTTATTTTAAATAAGTAGAAATATACACTCACATACTTTGATGGGATACACACATACGGAATTTGACGATGCATATAACTTAGTACTCTTGCATGTATATCCACGCATCTATATGGTAAAATTTTAAAAGAAATTTATATCCTACGTATTCTATTGTACCTCACATATACACACTTTTGCATATGAGCAATCATGGGGTCCACATAATAAATATGCACAAATGTATTTTTAATCCTTTAACGTCATGTGGAGTCAAAAAACTAACGTATCATTTTTATCTACTCTTCTGGTCCCTAATGTAAGATCTAATTAATTAATTTGAGTAGATTAAGTATGTTAGTTAAATTATTTAATGTGATATGTTTTTTTCCTCCTAAAATAGCTTAACCATCTTCTTTAATTCTTTTTTTTTTCCTTCTACTTAATTGTTGTTGGAGAAATATCAATACAATTAAATTGAAAAAAATTGATAAACATGTGAAATAGGTTTTATATATAGGATAATATCAACTCTTTAATTAAATCTTATATTAAGAATTGGATGAGTAATATATATAGCTCTTGATATTAATTGTGCGTGTGTGTCTATAGGGATATATGTTATTGATTGCAATGCTAATGATGCTGTTTTGAGTGAGGGAAATTATTGGTTTCATTGCATAAGACACCTCATACAGAAGCTTTGGTCTCAGCTAATTCAACATCACCATCATCATCATCTTGAACCTTAAAACTTACGTATTGATACCTCTGAACAACCAAGAAGAAGAAACATAGATTCAAAACTCCAAATCCAGCAATGAGATAGTAAAAGTATTCCAATCTCCCAGCATTCAAATCATTCGTTAACCAACTTGTCCGATGATTAACCATCGTGATAATGAAGGTGCTCGCATAACTGGCCACACCCCAAGAGCAATACATCAATGAATTCGAAATACTCCTCATGTGTTCTGGGCATTGTCTGTTGAAAAACTCAATCGCTCCAATAATATAAAATGCCTCACACATGCCCATTAGGATCAGCGGCACGGTTAGCCACATGGCCGACATCGGCGTGACCCCAAGCAGGTTAGGGTTCGAGTTAGCCAAACCCCTTCTGGCTTTTTCCACGAACCCAGCTACAACCATGGACACAGCACAGAACACTAAACCGATTCCCATTCGTTGAAGCAACGTTATGCCTCCATCATGGTGTGTAGTTTTTCTAAGTGCTGGTACGACGATGCGATCGTAGAGTGGGACCCAGAGGACTATGGTGAGGAAGGAGAAGACTGATAATGAAGCTGCTGGGATTTGGAAGTTGGTTCCGATGTGTCTGTCCATTTTTAGGGCTTGCGAGATTGTGAATATTCCTAGATGTATTATGGAGGTTAGGGTTAAGAAACTAGTTGTCCAGATTGGCAAGATTCTTACGAGGCATTTTACTTCTTCTACTTGCTGGATGCTAGCTAGTCTCCATGGATTTACTTTGCTCCCATCTGGGTTTAACTCTCCTTCCCTTATTACAGCAGCTTTGTTTAATACCCTAAAAAAAAGTTACAGTCCTCTTTGTGAGTTCAAATTCGGGTTCTTACAGTAATTTTGCCTATTATCTTACTGATTCTCATAGAAGAGTTAGATTATTAATTATTTCTTCTTGTTCTAAAAAGAAGTGCGGGTTAGGGTTCTAAATATACTATCTTCTCTTTGTCTCCCAATTTCATAATTGTTCACCAAACTATCCTCATGGATACATATATTAAGAGGTTTCTATCACAGGAGAGTTTTAATGCAAATTATTAATGAGGATAAAAAACTAATGCAAATTTTTACAAATAACTAATTTCACTTATTTTCTTAATTTCCAAAAATTAGTTATTTAACTCCTAATACATTAAGTACTGGAAGAAGTAGTTTGATGGTTTGCAATTCAGCAGTTTCAAAAAAAAAAAAAAAACGAGAAAGAAAGAAAGGGGCAAAAAGGCATAGGCTATTGCGCTTTTAGTCCACTCTGGAGTGTTTTAATACAAATGATTAATAAAGATCTTTTAGAAAAACTAATACACGTTTTTACAAACAACCAATTTAACTTATGTTTTTAATTTCTATAAATTAGTTATCTAACTCCTACATTAGATATTAGAAGAAGTTTGGTGGTTTGCAATTCAGCCCTTTCCAAAAGAAAGAAAGTAAGGGGAGAAAAAAAAAAACACACACAGGCTGTTGCACTTTTAGTTTACTTTAGGTTAGATTATTCCAAAAAAAGTTGTATCATGAAAAATTTCAAATATACGGTTGGCCACATGGGGGCAAAAAAAGGGGGATCCAGTTTTTTTTGAGAAAAGCACTGAGTTTACTTGGTCATCTTTTCTGAAATTTTTAGATTATGCAAATCCAATAAAAGCATGTGGTAACGAATCACAATTCTTTGATATGGACCAATATGCAGAAAACCAACCCTCCATTTTTTAATACACAAAAGCAACCTTTCGGCTTTTAACTTTACATTATTTAATATTTAATATTAATTTTTTGGATTGTAAAAAAAATTTTAATTCTTTATTCCTAACACTAATAATTTCATCAACATCAAGTTTGTTTTGTTAAAAATAACAATTATTAATACAATAAAATATCATTTGAAGTAATAGTGTGCGAGACACTGAGAACTGGAAAAAAAAATACTTTATATATTAAAGTTGGAGGATTAGACATACTACTTCTAGTCCCTAATATAAAAGCTAGTTGGGATTGAATCTGATTCTAAATATAAAACTTTAATCTATAACATTCCTCTTATTTATCCAAACTAACTTTGTTGATTGTATATTTTAAGGAAGTTTGCTACTTTGCACCCAAGGGCAATCTCAATCCAAATGATTTAAAAGGATATTTAAGGAAAAACAATACATATTTTTGACAAATAACTAATTTAATTACTTTTCTAAATCTAACCAAATCAGTTAAGTAGATCTTATATTGAGAATTGAAATTAGTATACTTTTACCTAGTAGAAATGGTATACCTGAATTGGTTGGTCGGAGGCAGCTTTGTAACGACACTAGTGCCCTTTTTCAAAGGAGGATCATACAAGGCTACTCCATCTTTATCTTCATCTTCACCACAATGAATCTCAACTTTTCTCTTTTTATAAGCAGCAACAAGAACTTGAGCAACTCCAGATAATATACTCCCTTCTGGCCCTACATGCACATAAATCCTTGTACCAATGAAGAAAAACACCAGAGCCAACAGCATACACAAAGTAGGGATCCCAAAACCTAGGGACCAACTCACAGAGTCTTGAACATAGATCACTACTGTTTGAGTTACGAGATATATCAGACTCGTTATGGTGTAGCTCCAATTGAAGAAACTGTTGATCCCTCTCCTTCCTTCTTCCGTGGATCCAGCGAACTGGTCGACGCCGAATGGGAGACTACAAGGCTTTATTCCAGAAGAGCCAATGGACATTAGGAGAAATCCCAGAAGAAGAACAAGAAGATGAGTCTTTTTGGGTTTCTCACATAGGTTTTGTGCTAGTTGTTGTGGTGTACATGGTGGAGGGTGCAATTCTGGTAACCATGCTGTTAGTGTCACAACCATCATCCCCTGTGTTATTCAATGGAAATTGATTAAACTAAATATAAAAGGTGTACGATTGGTCTTCTAATTTTATATAAGATTTTGGTTTAGTCTTTTAATTATATTCAATATCTTTTTAATTCTATAAGCAAGTGTTCGTCTGAAATGATACTTTTTATGTGAATTATTATTATTATTTTAAAAAAAATAAACTTAGCATGCAAGTGTTGAAGAATGTTTTGTCAATACTTAAAATTTCAATGGCAGGATTTTGTTTTTAATCAGTGAACCTAACGGTACTGTGTTGTGAGATGAATCCTATCATTTACGTGACTTGTGAATGTCACAATTTTTTTATAAAAATTTTATTTAATATTGATACTAGTCGATGGAAGTTGAAGTCACACTTTAGTCCCCACATTGAACATATGTGTGTGCGTGTGCGTGTGTGCACACACACACATATATATATATATGGGGACAAAAATCAAATGAAGAAATCATTTTACTGCGTATGGTGGACAAATATGATAAAAATGCGCTGCTTACTGATTATTTCATACTTGACTTGCATATGCTTTTCTAGGGCGACGCTCTTCGGACCAAAGCGTGACCTTGAACAGTGAGAAGAGTCTCGCTTTAAAAATTTAGAGACGTAGAGTTTTAAAATTTTAATAAAAAAATATGTAAAGTAAAGGAGTAATAAAAATTTCTAATTTCACTTCAATTTTCAAATAGCGCTCACTAAAATTTTCTCTTCCATTCCTTCCCCTTCATTTCTCTCTTACCAAACGGAAAGGAAAAATAATATGTACACACACATACATATAAAGAGAGAGTTATGTATTATCATTTACCCCCTCTGGTCCAAGATATAAAAAGTTTTCCACAAGAAGATTTTGACCCAAAATATAAAAGTTGACAGGGTAATTGATAGTAGTTTTTCACTTTTACCTCTTGTCATAAGGAGGAGAGAAAATTTTAAATGCAAAAGAGTGATGAGAAAATTTTCTAATCATATACTTTAATAAGAATAAAATAAGTGATTTTTATCAATTTAAAATATATTTAATGACCTAACTAACATTTTTCAGTTTACTTATTAACTGAAGTCTTTATATTATGAAGCACGGGGAATATACCAGAAGATTGGGGACGGAAGCAAAAGCTATGGTGTTGAAGCGACCGACATAAGCATCAGAAATGAAGGCGCCAATGAGAGGGCCGAAGTTGGAGAGACCATACCAAATACTCATAATATTTGCAGCAGAAACTGTGTCTATGTGAAGTTCTCTCGTCAGATACACCAGAAAGTTCGCAAACATCCCATTCGCGGCCAAGCTCGCAAACGCTTCATTCCCTAATTTACACACACACAATATTATGATTCATAAGAGAGAAAAAGTTTAAATTAATTAAAGAGATGAGAGAGAGAGAGAGAGATATCTAGAGAGGCACCTAGAATATAAGGCATGGCCTTCCATCCTCCTGGCTTCTGGGTTTTACATCCATAGTTAGTGTTCTTATCTTCATCATCACCAGCCATTATTTCTTGGAGTCAAGAAAATTAGAACACTTTAAGATCGAGAAGACTATTTTGAAGGATGTAGCCAAATCTAATGGAAAGGTTTGGGTTGAGTGAAGGAGCAAGGAGATCGACTTCACACACTGATTTATAGTACACAGGACAAAAATTAATAAATTAAAGTAATGGTGGTCGCAGCAGGTATAGTTTTTTTTAAAATTATTTTATTTATTTTTGCCACTATAAATTGCTATCATGTAGATTTAGAATACAGCCAAAAAAATAGATATGAGTGGGACGTAGGCTGGACATATCCTAAAATTTTATATTTATTTTCGCCACTATAAATTGCTATCATATGTACCTTGCAGCGTGTTTCACACATCAGTATTTTGATCATGATGATTTTTTCCCATAAGAAAGACACATGTATTGTTTGTAAACACAAAACCATTTCTTAACACACGTGTCTAGCTTCATCACTCATTTGCTTATATTAGATAATAATTACTATTGCAGCAGATACATCTTACGCCTATACAGAAGGGCTTTTTATGCCACTTTTGGGAGATATAAATATAGGTAATGTAGTAAGTGCTCATTTGTGTCTATTTTAGAGTAGACGTAGCTGATGATAAAAACAAGAAGAATTACTTTGTAGTAAGAACATCTTAATCGCCATTTGGCCTGAGATGGTCTAGGAATCTCGTATTCAGGAAATGGAGTCCAAAACCAAATAATAAAAGAATTGAGGGCAAGGTTTGGGTTTTGATTAATCTCCATTAGTTGTATGTGTTAGCGTTCAAGGATACTGCATAACCAGTGTGAGTTGGGTTTAGCAGAAGGGGACTGATCACTTACAACATGGCAAATTAAGGTTCGAATCCTCAGTAGAAGAGGTACCCATATTTAGTATATAACAGTGTCTCAAATAGAATTATTTAGAATACCTATGCTTAGCCAAAAAAAAAAAAAAAGAAATTACAACCCGAGGCATACTGAACCCCATTAATAGAAAAAGAAAATCCAGATTTCATTTAGACTACTCATCCTTAAATCACCATTTCTGCTGATTGAGTGACCATACCTTTAAAAAAAATCATCACTCTCTTGACGCTTGTATTTAAGTAAGAAGAGAAATATAGATATCCACGACAAGAATTCCTAATGGCAGTGGTACCTGCTACACTTGAATGAGAACTTAGACTTAAGTTTTGTATTGACGTGTTTGTACGTGCGTGTATGTTTAAATTATATATAATATATAACACCGGAATATTTTTTCTTACACACTCACACACACACTTTTCTTACATTAATATCTAAAAACAATATTGTTTGTCCAAAAAAATATGTAAAAACAATATTAACCAACAGCAATGAGATCAAGTGAAAGAGATGGTTTGATGTCATTTGCATTGAATTCAATCCTTATAATAGAGTTATGTTCATTTATATTTTGTTAATATTTGAACAAATTAATCGGTACTTAATTAATCTGACAAAGTAGATGGTTATACTTGACAATAAAACAATATATATGAACATTGAGATGACTATATATTAACAAGTCATCGTCAATCAGAAGACAACAGCTACAATCCACAGATTCTAGTAATTAATTTTCAGAAATTTGGCTACAACTATTATACTTGGCATATAGGTATCCGCCTCAAAGGAAACCTGTCTAAAACTGTCGAGTTATCGATGTGAAATGGATCCATAAAAAAAAAAAAGGTTCTAGTTATAGTCCAAAAACAATTCGTGTATATATATAAATATATATATTTCCCAAAAACCTGAAATCCAAGTAAATGATAAATTGTACAATTTCCAAAGTTTTGTCGAGAGAAGATATGCCTTATATGTTTGCAAGATGCGATCTTTAATATAAAAACTAGTTAAATATTTAATTTGATCCTGAAAATAATACTTGAATCCACTTTTCCTTCAACATTTATTCATTTGCCCCCAAATTCATTTATGGAAAAACTAATCTTTTGGTCATTCAAATTTCAACTTAGTTATGACTCAGTCCTTGATATTTTCCCACTTAATAAATTAATCATTGTTATACATGCACTCACCTTGACCCATCCTAAGTGACATCCAAGTAAGCTCCACATAGATTTTAATAATTAAAAAATTCATCATTGGCTTCCTTCATATTTTGATCACCGCCGGACCGGCTGAAGTTTTGATTATGAATTTGAATTTACCTAATTTATTTTGTTACTCTATCATTTTAATTTCATTTTATTGAATGCCTAAAAGACCAATAACTTGAGAATATTTTCCTAGTCTTGAAGACTAGTATATCATAGAGCCCATGCCTACAAAAGACATATGAGAAATATATAAATTGGCCATCAAACTCAATGATGAAATAAGAAAAAAACTCATTAAGAGATGGGGTTTTTTTTTGTCTTCCCAAATATGCCCCTAATTAGATAAATAGGGGTGTATTTTTTTTTCCCAAAAAGATCATTCATTAAAGGGGATGGGAAATTGAAAAGTTGTTAAACTATGGTTAAGGTGCAAATTTGTTTTGAAAGTTTTTACACAATAGTGTTTCCCACCCAAAAGTTTTTTATGTGTAAATTTGCCCCAAAAGTTTAAAATCGCAACAATATTGCCCATAATTGCTAAAAACGTTAATAGTCAATGTCACTATTTTAATAGTCAATATAATTTTTTAATGGCAAGGGGGAAGATTGATGAGATTTTAAACTTTTAGGATAAATTTATCTCCAGAAAACTTCTAAATGCCTAGTGATTATGGATAAAAATTTTCAGAACAAATTTGCACCTTAATCCTTTAAATTATATACCTAAAAACCTTTTATAATTCAAAGTATAAGTTAAAGGTACCTTTAATTAATTTCATATAAAAAAGATGTTAAAAATTGGTTAACTTGCTAAATCAATATATCCATTAATACTCTTCCACTGAAGTCGTGGCTCAGAGGGCTTATATTGCGGCTTAAGACTCATTTTACTGTTCATAAGAGATATATGGCTTCAAACTAATTTTATTGGGCTTTGTGTCATGCGGCTTGCAAATGGGGCTGCGTGCTGTGGAATGTGGATACAATTTGAAATTTGAATTTGAATTCTGAGTCTCAATATTCAACATTAAGATCCCCTCTCCTTTATCCCGTTTCTCAGCCTTCCCTCTAAAATTCTCTTCTTCCACCTTGACTCTTCGTCATGGGTTTCTTCATCTTCTTCAATGCCCCTCCTCTTCGATGATGAATCAATCTTCTTCATCTTCAAAGCCTCCTTTATTTACAAGTTGCGGCGACGAGAAGGGAGTGATGAGAGGAAGAACTTGCACAAACATTCTTCCTTTTCTTGTTATCACAGTAAAAGCTTCTTCTTCTGCCCCCGACTCTCCTTCATCGGTTCATTCATCTTTTTCAGTGGCCTTCGTCTTAGATGATAAATCAATCTTTTTCATTTAATTAGCCTCCTTCTTTTGGAGGTTGCGGCGACTGGAAGGGAGCATCGAGGGCGAAAAACTTCACAAATATTCTTCCTTTTCTCGTCATCGGTGCGAAAGCGTGAGTTTATTGGTCAGTTGCTCATTTCATTGTTCCTACCTCTTGTCTTCTACTCTATATGTGTCGGTATGTTCGAATCAATATATCCATTAATACTCTTCCACTGAAATTGTGGCTTAGATGGCTTATATTGTGGCTTAAGACTCATTTTATTGTTCATAAGAGATATTTGGCTTCAAACTAATTTTATTGGGCTTTGTGTCATGCGGCTTGCAAATGGGGCTGCGTGATGTGGAATCTAGATACAATTTGAAATTTGAATTTGAATTCTGAGTCTCAATATTCAACATTAAGATCCCCTCTCCTTTATCCCGTTTCTCAGCCTTCCCTCTAAAATTCTCTTCTTCCAACCTCACTCTTCGTCATGGGTTTCTTCATCTTCTTCAATGCCCCTCCTCTTCGATGATGAATCAATCTTCTTCATCTTCAAAGCCTCCTTTATTTACAAGTTGCGGTGACAAGAAGGGAGTGATGAGAGGAAGAACTTGCACAAACATTCTTCCTTTTCTCGTCATCACAGTAACAGCTTCTTCTTCTGCCCCCGGCTCTCCTTTATCGGTTCATTCATCTTTTTCAGTGGCCTTCGTCTTAGATGATGAATCAATCTTTTTCATTTAATTAGCCTCCTTCTTTTACAGGTCACGGCGACTGGAAGGGAGCGTCGAGGGCAAAAAACTTCACAAATATGCTTCCTTTTCTCGTCATCGGTGCGAAAGCGTGAGTTTATTGGTCAACTGCTCATTTCATTGTTCCTACCTCTTGTCTTCTACTCTATATGTGTCGGTATGTTCGAATCAATATATCCATTAATACTCTTCCACTGAAGTCGCGGCTCAGAGGGCTTATATTGCGGCTTAAGACTCATTTTACTGTTCATAAGAGATATATGGCTTCAAACTAATTTTATTGGGCTTTGTGTCATGCGGCTTGCAAATGGGGCTGCGTGCTGTGGAATGTGGATACAATTTGAAATTTGAATTTGAATTCTGAGTCTCAATATTCAATATTAAGATCCCCTCTCCTTTATCCCGTTTCTCAGCCTTCCCTCTAAAATTCTCTTCTTCCACCCTGACTCTTCGTCATGGGTTTCTTCATCTTCTTCAATGCCCCTCCTCTTCGATGATGAATCAATCTTCTTCATCTTTAAAGCCTCCTTTATTTACAAGTTGCGGCGACGAGAAGGGAGTGATGAGAGGAAGAACTTGCACAAACATTCTTCCTTTTCTTGTTATCACAGTAAAAGCTTCTTCTTCTGCCCCCGGCTCTCCTTCATCGGTTCATTCATCTTTTTCAGTGGCCTTCGTCTTAGATGATGAATCAATCTTTTTCATTTAATTAGCCTCCTTCTTTTGCAGGTCACGGCGACTGGAAGGGAGCGTCGAGGGCAAAAAACTTCACAAATATTCTTCCTTTTCTCGTCATCAGTGCGAAAGCGTGAGTTTATTGGTCAACTGCTCA